TGCTGTGCACATTTGAACTATACGTTCGTAGAAAGGTGTTTGTTCTGCATCATCTTGTGAGGTGTGCCCGATATAACCGCACCAAAGAAAGTTGAAGTTATAAACAACCCAGATGGGAGGCGTGTAATAGGTTGACGAAGACTCATGATTGAGTTGAAGTAGTCTATGCCGATCAGAATCCCAGGTGTTATAGTTTCCGCCGCAGTTCCAACCATAGTGTTTGCATCTTCTTTTGGAAAGTGTTCATAGATGAATGCTTCGTCTTGTGGTGAAATGCCTCCGAATCGAAGAGGAGGTGTAATTTTATCATTGGTCATAAATTCAATTGTAATGTGCTCTCCTTTGGCATTGAATAGTTGACCAACGACTCGCCTTACACGCTTCTTTTCTGCTCTGCCTCCAAATGTATTCACTCTGATTGTGGTCTCATTTCTTATGGGAAGATTCATTTCCTCTGCGAGTGAGTTTAAGATAAAGGATTGGTCAGAAGCAGAATCTAACAGAGCGAAAATTAAGTGCTTTTCTGTGTCTGTATTAGATTGCAGCTGAACTGGCACTACCATCAGGCGAGTCTCTCCATAGTTCATGAAGGGGCTCGTGCTGTTTTCGTTATTGTAATTTGTGCAATTCAAACTTTGAACTTGAAGATTGACTTGAACATTTCTAGGTGACTTATTTCGTGCTGGAGGACTAGAGGTGAATCTGACGCGATACGGTCGTCTCGGACTTCTCGAAGGTGAACCTGAAGGTGGCCTTGTTAAACCTTTTTTGGTATGATGTTGAAGTGATTTTGAGTAAGGTTGCGGCGAGAAGTGGAGATAACGAGAGTTGGAGGCTCTACGGCGGGGGAGGGAGTTTTGGGGCGTAAAATGCCTTGGAGCGAATTTATCTGGTGGTGAAGAGCTTCTGCTATACGTATATTGAGTGAATTGAGGCCGACAACTAGTGCTTGTACTGCGTTGTTTTCTGCATATAATAGGATTGTGATTCCCTCCACAGAGGATGCAGTTGCGCCTGCGGCAGAATTGTGTAGAATGATTTTGTTTGAAGCATTTCCAACATGCCTTAATTGCCTTGAGACGTTCAATTTTTTGTGGTATCGTGAAGTAGCTATTGCAGTACTCGAATCTGTGGGACTGCCCACATCCAACGCATCGTGTTAATTGAGTTGTTCTTGTACTAGTATGGAAAACAGAATATTCGTTGTTGCTTGTGTTTTTAAGATTTGCGATGTGTTCTTTGCGTTTGACCGCCAGCGTTAGATTGTCTAGCAATTCCGTCATTGTCCAAGTTTTATCTGAGTCGAACTCCTTCTTGGCCATTTCATCTTGAATTGTTTGGGGGAAAGTTTCAAGCACCATGCTTTGCATGTATGTTGTATTAACAGTTTCGCCTTGTCTTTCCAACGTTGCTATTACCGCGTGAACGTCGCTAAGGTTGTTTCTAAGTGATCTGGCGTCTTCTCGGCATTGCTTCATGGATTTGAGCTGACGTATCATTTGTAGGGTTATTTGTTTAGGATCTTCGTATTGAGCTTTGAGCTGGGAAATAGCTTTTTCGTACGAATCCCCTGTTCGTGGAATCATTTGAAGTGCTCTGGCCGCATCTCCTTTACAGCTGCTAAGAAGAATTGAAAGTTTTTCTATATTGGAGTACGGTTGTTTATGCACTAACTCTTCGAATAGCTCCCAAAAAGGGGCGAATTCTGAAGGTTTACCATTGAATTGAGGTATTTTGAGTTCATTACCTAGGAGGCGCCTTTCTAACATGTATCCTAGTTGTGGCGCAACGGGTGGAGTCACTAGCTGAGTCTGAGTTTCAGCGGAGTTAGGATTTATTTGGTGGCTTATTGAGATTGAAGGTGTTTGACCTGTTTTCTTTGAGATGTCTTGTTTCATGATTGTTTCTTGACATTCGAGCTCTACTAGTCTTTTCTCGAGTTGGCGTACAACATACTCTGCTTCTTGAAGCAGTGTTTCACCTTTTTTCTCTACCCAGTACTCGTCGAATTCTTGCTCAACTTTGGATTGTTCCTCCTGTAATAGGAGATCGTTTATTGTATTGTTGCAATTATTGTAATACTCGATAATGTATTCTCTGCGGCTCTTGATTGTTGAAATCAAATTTTGGAGTCGTTGTCGGTTTGAGAGAAGGAAAAGCTCGAGTTCAGGTATGGTAGAAGGGAATTCCCATTCCCGGTATTCGTTGGCCTCTGTGATAAGAGTTGCGAGGTAGTTGAGATTCCTCGTCATTTTGAGCTTCACGTTTTTCAGAAGGAACTTCTGGGACATGTCGAGGATGTCGATGTGAAGCGAATTATACGGTTAAAGGTAATGACGTTCGATGAAGACGGCTGCGAACAGTACAACTGAATGATGGGCAGACGGTGTCGTGGATTATATATCCTGTGTTGATGTTGTTTATGTTTTTCTTTGGAGATGAAATCTTCTGTGGTTGTTTTGGGATTGTATTCTGTTATGAGACGCTTGAAGCTTGGTGAGTGTTATCTTGACGTTGATCTTGAGAAATCTTTCAGATGAAGAGGTTGGTCTCACGAAGGGGGAGATTTGTTTTGTGAAATTTGTGCTCAAGGCTTATCTCTGAAAGATGTTGAATTCCATACATTGCACAATAAGAAAATTTTTGTCCTGAGGCTTTGTGAGTGACAGTT